AAACAGTAGCTTCAGCACGCAAGTTCCCAACACTGACAATAGACTCTGTATTGAAAGAGCATTCTTCTTCTTTATAGGAATTCAGGCACCTGTTAACACACACACACACACACACACATACCGTACACACACATCTGGTTTGCTATTCTTCTGGGGACTTCCCATATAAAGAGTTTCATTCTGTACAGACTGTTTATAGATACTATACAGTGCTCAGCATACATGAATACACCCCATTGTGAAAATATATTTATTAAAATAATATTTCAGTCAACAAACATATTTAGAAATTTAACAATACAATTAAATTTAAGCTAAATATTGCAAAAAAAAAAAAATCGACAAAATTTCAACAATTTTTTTTCTTTTTTTTTCTTTTTGATTTTTCCTCTTTTTAAATTTGTATTAAATTTTTTTCTATAACATTTAAATTTAAGTGTGCTAGTTTTTGAAGTGTTATCGTGAGTTATTTTGTTAGATAAGCTCCAGATTTGGCTTCAGTACTTACTAAACTAATTTATCTGCACGAGTATAATATTGTAGAGCTTCCTATTAAATTATTAATCCAAAAGAGAGATTTGTAAGGGGTGCACTTATATATGCTGAGCACTGTATACTGTATCGTCCTAGCCAACCCTGCATCTTAACATTTCCAAAGTTGTTCATTCTGTGTGATGTATAAGAGTGTTTGTTAAACCACGAGGAACTCAATTTAGGTCCCTGCATTGACATTAGTCCCCATGAGTCAATCAGTGTGCAATCAGTATTAAGTCCCCACTGGGATATAAAAACAAGACCACACAAACACTTGATACTGCAAATCCATCAACTAGAAGACCTTCGTGTAAACTAGCTTAAACATCTGGAGAAACCTGTCTAAGGATAAAAGCGAAGACTCAACCTAGAAGTCAAAAGTCCACACACACTTTTCTCATGTACAAGAGAACTCAGTGACACCTGATACCAAACTCTGCATGAAAATGTTACATAAAGTCACTAACGGGAAGTACTTAAAAAAAAAAGTAGAGCAGACCAGAAATGGGCTGATGGGGAAATTATAATTAGCAAGATGCTTTCCCATCTCCAGTCAAGCTGGTGTTAAAACAAGCACCTATATAGCTGCTGTTTCCAGTGGCTTTCATCCTTCAGTGCTACTGACCACATACAAACCACTCATCTACATAGGTGATGTTCCAAAGAAAGAAACCCACAAAGACCTACACACACAAACACACAGCATCTTACTGCTGACAACTAACCAGAGAACACAAGCCATGTAAATAGAAAAGTGTGTGAGAGAGATTTTATTTCAGCTAGTACGCTAACATAGACCCAGCGAGTGTAAACTTTCAGGTTGGCAAATCAAATATTTGATTGTTGTATTATTTGGACAAGAGTTTATAATTAAAGCACATCATTTCAGCAACGACAAACACATACTGGAAAACAAACATACAAAAAAGTCCAGTGGGTTTCTAATGAGGTCAGTGGTGAGTGGAGACGTTTTCAGAGGTGAGAATGACTAACACACACACACACACACACACACACACACACACACAGTCAGACTTGAATTGAGTTACCAAAGCAAAATTAAAACATTTTAATTTAAGTTTGTGTATTGATTTAAGGAAAGGAGAAAACTGAAAGTAATTTTAAAAGTAGAATGCGGAAATGATTCAACATTATGTCACAAGTGCTGTCAATTGAGCTGAACCAGTTTGGAGTCTATAGAAGGTTCCTTCAAGGAAACATCACATGGTTTAGTTCACATGGCTAAAGACCAAAAAGGTGAGTGCACTTGGCATCATCACATTACATTTTAAGTCAAAAATGCAATACTGCAGTACAAAAAAGTGCACATATAAATAAAATATTTTAATTAATTTAAATATAAATAACATTTTTAACACCAACAATAGATGGTGGTTCATTCCGCTGTGGTGACCTCTGATCAATCAAAGACTAAGCTAAAGGAAAATTAATTATTCTTAGAAATACAATAGGTGAATTTCAATAACCTTTTTGACAAACTAAATAGATAGAAAGACAGGCAGGCAGGCAGACAGACAGACGATAGACAGACAGACAGACAGACAGAGAGGTAGATAGACAGACAGACAGACAGACAGACAGACAGACAGACAGATAGATAGATAGATAGATAGATAGATAGATAGATAGATAGATAGATAGATAGATAGATAGATAGATAGATTAGTTTTCAATGGTGAGATTGACTAATACACACACTTTCAGACATGAATCAAGATACAAAGATCAACCAGTTTGAAGTCTATAGAATGTTCCTTCAAGGAAATGCCACATGGTTGACGCTTTATGCATTTATGTAACTGTAAATGTTGAATCAGCGAACGATTGAAGAGTAAGTGCACTCGGCTTCATCACATTACATTTTGAGTCAGATATGCAATACTGCAGTACAAAAACGTTTTGCATGCCATCTTCAATATATATATATATATATATATATATATATATATATATATATATATATATATATATATATATAAGCCAAATCTGGATGGATGGTTGGATGGATGGACAGACAAATAGATTAAAAAATCAAAAGTAAAACATTTTGTTTATGTTTTAATTTATTTAAGAAAACAAGACAACTGAAAGTTATTTTAAAAATACAATGCGGAAATTACTCAATATTATGTCACAAGTGCGGTCATTTGAGATGAATGGGATGTTTGACGAGTCTATAGACTGCTCATTTAAGGAAACACCACATGATTGATGCTTTATCTTATTGCTTATCTTACAGTTTTTTCTCCATTGGTTTGCCTCATTTCTTGAAACAGAAATTACTTTCTCAAAACAACATGGACAAACCTCCAAACCACTTGGCAATTGTTCACAACAGACTTCATTTTCTCATTCATTTCATCAAATTGCAAATGTCTCAGTTCATCTTTGCAAATGATTAAGTACAGATAGCCTACATTTAGCACAATTTCCAAGAGAATAAATCTAGTTGATTTAAACCAGGGGTGCTCAATCCTGTTCCTGGAGAGCCACCTTCCTGCAGATTTCAGTTGCTATATCAAACACACCTGGACCAATTAATTAGGACCTGAACACCACTTGATAATTATAGGCAGGTGTGTTTGATATGGGTAGCAACTGAAATCTGCAGGAAGGTGGCTCTCCAGGAACAGGATTGAGCACCCCTGATTTAAACTTCTCAGTCTAAAGCAGGGGTCACCAATCTCGCTCCTGGAGGGCCGGTGACCCTGCAGGGTTTAGCTCCAACTTGCCTCAACACACCTGCCTGGATGTTTCAAGTATACCTAGCAAGACCTTGATTAGCTTGTTCAGGTGTGTTTGATTAGGGTTGGAGCTAAAATGTGCAGGACACCGGACCTCCAGGAACAAGTTTGGTGACCACTGGTCTAAAGGTTGTTTCCTCCAAAATGTGTCAGCGTCATTTAACTGTGTCATTACATGCACTATAGTCTGTTCAGTTGTCAAAATTAGTCAAGACCATATAACCATGAATACCATACAGTAGGTGAATCCTTGGAACATTTGATTACAATTTATTACAGCAATTTATTCTCTGATATATGGAAGTTGCTTTGTGTGAGGTTGATCATTACAATAAAAAGGAGCTACCATTTCCTTGGCTGTATGCGTGCATTGTGTGACGTAAAACCTTGGAGGCTACTCTTACCCTAAAATCCTATTACTTTTTTATATTTTCATACACAAGTGTATTCTATTAGCTAGACAAAAACAGTACAGTAACCATAGTCAATAATAGACTGGGCTAAGACTGTAAGGTGGACATAAGGGATATTTTAGTGGTCCTTTGCCATAATGACAGAACATCTAAACATTTTGACTTGCGGTGCTCACACAATGCCAAAGGGACGAAGCATTTTGGGGGCACTGATTGTTTAAATGAGAAGGAAATTTAGTTTTGACACATGAGTGAACTGTTTTGGGAAAACTATGAGCTTTTGCAAGTGAGCTATAGTGTTGTGCTAAACTGTAACACTGTTTTGCCAAATGATCTTAGAATTTTGAGAATGTGATTTCTGTTTCAAGAAATGAGTCAAACCAATGGAGAAAAACTGTAAGAAAACACCACGTGGTTCACACTTTATGCATTTTTTTGTTGTGATCAATAGCATGAATAATAGAAATAAAACAATACAAAACATTACAACATTAACAAAAACATTACTTCTTAAACAAATATGCAATAGGCAAGTTTTATATAATCTTTGCAATATACTAAATGAATGGATGGATGGCCAAATGGACAGGAAGACAGACGGACAGACGGACGGATAGATATATAGACAGACGGACGGACGGACGGACGGACGGACGGACAGACGGACAGACAGACAGACAGACAGACAGACAGACAGATAGATAGATAGATAGATAGATAGATAGATAGATAGATAGATAGCCAACTGGACAGGCAGGTGGATGGATGGATGGATGGATGAATGGATGGATGGATGGATGGATAGAGATGGATGGATAGATAGATTTATAGATAGATTTATAGATTTATAGATAGATAGATAGATAGATAGATAGATAGATAGATAGATAGATAGATAGATAGATAGATAGATAGATAGATAGATAGATAGATAGATAGATAGATAGATAGATAGATAGATAGATAGATAGATAGCCAACTGGACAGGCAGGTGGATGGATGGATGGATGGATGGATGAATTGATGGATGGATGGATAGAGATGGATGGATAGATAGATTTATAGATAGATTTATAGATTTATAGATAGATAGATAGATAGATAGATAGATAGATAGATAGATAGATAGATAGATAGATAGATAGATAGATAGATAGATAGATAGATAGATAGATAGACAACTTGACAGGCAGGTGGATGGATGGACGGACGGACGGACGGACGGACAGACAGACAGACAGACAGATAGATAGATAGATAGATAGATAAATAGATAGATAGATCTGTTTTACAAAGAAAAATAAACATATAAGAAGATTCCTAGTGCGCACACCAACAGGAGCCCAATGTTAAGAGCAGTTTTGTTTTGTGCAGATTCTTTAAGCATTTCATGAACACTCCTGCCATCATCCTCAAACGGTGAATCAGATTCCTCTGAATGTTCATTATAACCACAAAACCACCCCAAACATTTCACACAGCGTCCCTTATTTCTGGCTGCATGCTCAGTGGCCTGTCTGTGGGTATGAGGAGCCTCCAAGTGGCCATTTGGAAGCATTTCAGGAGGCAATGGTTGAAATTCCACTCCATCCAATGTCTGCTCGAGTTTGCCATTCCCTCCTTTCGCTTTCGTGTCTGCAGGTTGATTCCTGTTGCGCAGTCCCCACAAAGTAGTCTTGGAAATCTGTTCTTTACTTGGTGGATTGGTGCAAAGACTGACAACCACCATCACAAATCCTGAAACCCAAAACAAAACAGCAGCAACATACATGAAATGAACATCCTTAATGAAAGCCGGACGGTCATCAACTGAGTCGCAATCCGGCTCTCTATAGACGAATGCCAGAATCAGTCTTACAATTCCTAAAATCAATCCTACAAAGCCGCCCCAGAATGCACCGGTCTCATTGCAGCGCTTCCAGAGCACTCCCAGCAGGAATAGTGCAGCGATGGGAGGCGTGAGGTAATCAGACACCTCCTGAATGTACAGGAACATCTGACCTCCTTGCATCTCAATGACAAACGGCACCCAAGCAATGCTTATAGCTACTATAAGCACCACAAAGAGGCGACCCACAACCATGAGCTCCTTAGAGGAAGCCTGGTGACGGATCATCTTATAAATATCAAGGGTGAAGATAGTACTGGCGCTGTTAAAGATTGAGTCTAGATCGCTCATTAGAGCCGCCAACATCACTGCCATCATCAATCCTCGAAGACCCACAGGCATGATGTTCATGACCAGTCGAGGATACGCCGTGTTGGTGCAACCGGCTCTACTGTTGCACACTTGCATGCAATGCTCTGGACCAATGCATGCAAGCTCATCAGCAAAAAGCACGCGTGAAATCATTCCTGGAATCACGATGATGAACATCGGGAGGACTTTTAGGACTCCTGCTAGCAAGGTTGACCCTTTGGCGTGGGCAATATTTCGTGCTGCTAAGACTCTTTGGACTATGACCTGATCGGCGCACCAATACCAGATGGAAGCCGGAGTTTGACCAAGAAGAAAAGCAGGCCAAGGCAAGTCCTTATCCAATGGACTCCTCAAAAGCTTAAATGAATCTGCTTTGGGATTCACATGGCAGGAATTTGAGTAGGTTAAATTATTCTCCAGTGTTATAAATGTGATGTTGGGAAGAGCGTTCATGTATTTGGTGCGCAATCCCTCAAGACCCCCGACTTTAACTAAGCTGATAGCCATCAGACACAGTGCTCCTGATATCATCAGGAACGCCTGAAGAGTATCCGTGTAGATGACCGCCACCAGACCGCCAGTGACCGTGAGAAGAGCAGTCAAGGTGATCAGCAGGATTATAGACAGGTAAAGATTCCAGCCTAGAGACTCCTGGATGAAAAGCGCTCCCGAATAAAGATCCACTGAGAGCTTGGTGAAAATGTAGAGGAGGAGAGTGAGCGATGCGAAGTAGATCTTCAACCGATTGCCGCCAAATCTTTTCGAGAGATATTCTGGCATTGTGTAGACTCCAGAGTGGATGTAGACGGGTATGAAGACCCAGCCCAGGAGCTGTAGCAGGAGAATTGCATTAAATTCCCAAGCTCCGACGGCTAAGCCGCTAGCTGCGCCAGACCCAGCGAGACCGATGAAATGCTCACTGCCGATGTTACTCACAAACAGTGATGCACCGATCACAAACCAGTTCATGGAGCGACCGGCTAGGAAATATCCACTCACGGTACCTCGATTCGCCCTCCACATCGAAAAAAAGCCGAAGCACAGGACAAGAACGAAGTACATGGCAACGACAATGATATCCGCTGCTTCCATTGTTGATGCCATTTTTCAGTTCTTGCTGGAACAAGATATACACGGTTTGGTCGTCCACATATAGCAGTGAATTCTGCAAGAGAGATCATAAATAGATTTGTAAATAATAACAATAAGTTAACTCCATTTAGATGTACAAAAGACGGAAATCAGAACTTCATTTATTTATTTTCAGTTTAGTCTCTTTATTTATCTGCGGTCGCCACAGCGGAATGAACCACCAACATATCCAGCATATCTTTTACTCAGAGTATGCCCTTCCAGCTGCAACCCATCTCTGGGAAACAGCCATTAACACTCATTCACACACATACACTACGGCCAATTTTGCTCACCCAATTCACCTATACCACATGACTTGTGGGGGAAACCAGAGCACCCTAAGGAAACCCACGCTAACACGGGGAGAACATGCAAACTCCACACTGAAATGCCAACTGACCCAGCCTGGGCTCGAACCAGCGACCTTCTTGCTGTGAGATGACAGCGCTACATATTGCACCGCCGCGTTGCCCCGAAATTACAAAGTACATATTGAGTTTAAATCTACAGAGGGTGTTGTAATAAATTAAACGCAGTCTTTTTTGTTAAACATCAATTTGTTTTAACTTTTGTTTTGTTTGTTATTTCATATATTTTAAAATCAAATTTATGTTCAATTGTTTATTTTAATCTATTTTTAATTATCGGTTTTAATCAAATCATGCTTTGTTTATTTAAATATTTTTATTGTTGAATTTGTCACATTTTTATCTAATCACCGTAGTTATTAAGTTATTTATTGGACCTGCAAATTTAGTTAATGTTAACAAAATGTTCATTCATTCATTCATTCATTTTCATTTCGTCTTGGTCCTTTTATTAATCCAGGGTCACCAAAGCAGAATGAACCGCCAACTTATTCAGGACGTTTTTACACAGCGGATGCCCTTCCAGCCACAACCCATCTCTGGGAAACATCCACACACACTCATACACTAGGTACAATTTAGCCTACCCAATTTACCTGTACCGCATGTGTTTGTGGGGGAAACCGGAGCACCTGGAGGAAACCCACGCGAACACAGGGAGAACATGCAAACTCCACACAGAAATGCCAACTGACCCAGCTGAGGCTCGAACCAGCGACCTTCTTGCTGTGAGGCGACAGCACTACCTACTGCGCCACTGCAATGTAACATTTCATTGCGTTAATCTTATTTAATATTTTAGTTTCCTTCTTCTCCAAACATTTTTATACGGACCTCACCCAGGACCCCAAATAAACAAAAAAAATAAAACACTGATCTAACCCACTATTATGCAAGCAGTTTTATACAGAATGGTACAAGTACACTATTGTATATGTAATATATGTTTATAATTTATCATCCAAAGCAAATTAAGTACTCAATAGTTTGAAAAAGCAAAATGAAAAATAACTTTCTAATCCATCACCCTCAAGTGCTTTCAAACATTTCTAAGTTTCTTATACGCCAAAGATTTGTTTTTTCTGAAAACCTGCAACCATTGACTTCTATAATAAAACAAATACTGTGGAAGTCAATGGTTTTAGGGTTCCAACATTTTTCTTCTTTATATTATATTTAAAATATCTTCTTTAGTGTTTAGCAGAAGAAAGAAACTCGTGAGAAAAGGTTAAAACGAGTAAAAGGTGAATAAATGATGACTGAATTTTCATTTTTGAGAGAACTATCCCTTAAAGTGGGCTTCTTAATAAAGAAAAATAACAATTATATCACGAAAAAAGTAAACATGACAGTCAATATCATCTCATGCTTTTCAATGGTATGCAATTGGTTTTATTTATACATTTAAACCTAAATAAAACTTAATTTTTATACAGTTTATATACCAACTGTACAATCAAACTATATAATATCTAAAGGAGCATGTTTTATGTTTTAGATTAACCTTAGATTAAAAAATCAACGATAACACTCGATAATCAAAGGGCAAATCTCAACCATTAAAAACAGCAGCTGAGAGAAATTAGTGTCCCACTTTCAGACAAAGTTCTCGTCACGGCTCATGAGGAGTCTGACAGAAATAAATGCGATTTCTTAATGATAAAAAGCTCATTTATATGCTTAATAAGTACATTACGTCTACAATTATGCAATTTATGTACTTTATAATATATTATACCAAAGCAAAGGAAGTATCCAATGTTTTAAAAGGATAGTTCACCTTTACTCACTATTCAATCAACCTCAAGTAGTTTCAAACCTTTATAAGTTGCTTTCTTATAAAATAAATAAGAACCTGCAACCATTAACTACTGGAGAAGGAAAAACAAATACTATGGAAGTCAATAGTTTCAGGTTTCTAACATTTTTCAAAATATCTTCCTTTGTGTTTAGCAGAAGTTTAGCTTAGAAACGAGTAAGGTGAGTAAATTATGGCAGAATTTCCATTTTAGGGTAAACTATCCCTTTAAGTTGACTGATAAATAAAGACGAATAATATCACGAAAAAAAACGTGACAATTAATATTGTCCTACGTTCCCGTACATGCAATACATTATGAAAACACCTACTTATACATTTAAACCTAAATAAAACGTAATGTTTAAACAGTTTATATTTCTACAATCAAACCAGATACTATCTGAAAGAGCTTGTTTTATTCAGATTAACCTGAAAATGACAATTCAGCGTGAACACTCGATGAGCAAAAGGCAAATCTCAATAATTACAAACAGCAGCTGAGTGAAATTAGCATCACACTTTCAGACAACACTCCTGTCAGAAGTTCATCACGGCTCATGCGGAGTCTGACAGAAATAAATGTGATATCTAAACGATAAAAACTCGTTTACTCACCGAAGTCTTTACTGTGCAGAGATTTTACCCGGCGTATGATGATGATAATGGAGATGATGATAAGTAAACCGTTAAACGCCTCCATTTGCTCCCCCCGCGCGCGGCCAGAACGTCAGGAAACTGCGCTCCGCCCACCTGCTGAATTTCCACTGTTGGGGTTGTGGTAAGGGCACGGTGGCTCACTGTCGCATCATAACAGAAAAGTCGCTGGTTCGAGTCCCGGCTGTGTCAGTCAGCATTTCTGTATAGAGCTTACATGTTCTCCCCGTGTTGGCGTAGGTTTCGTCCGGGTTCTTCAGGTTTACCCCACAAGTCCAAACACATATAGGGGAATTGAATAAAGTAAAGTGGCTGTAGTGTATGAGTGTGTTTGAATGAGTGTACGGGTGTTTCCAGGTACTGGGTTCCAGCTGGAAGGGCATCCTCTGTGTTAAACATATGCTGGAAAAGTTGGTGGTTCATTCCACTGGTAAATAAAGGAACGAATAAATGAATAAATGTATTAATTAATAAATAAGAGAATGAATGTATGAATGAATAAATAAATAAATAATGAATGAATGAACAAATTAATAAATAAATACACGAATGAACAAATGAATGAATTAATAAGTACATGGATGAATAAATAAATAAATAAATGAATAAATAAATGAATAAATGAATGAATGAATAAATTAATAAATAAATAAATAAATGAATGAATGAATGAATAAATAAATAAATAAATAAATACATGAATAAACAAATGAATGAATGGATGAATATGTAAATGAATGAATGAATGAATAAATAAACGAATAAATGAATGAATAAATAAATGAATAAATAAATAAATGAATGAATGAATAAATAAATGAATAAATAAATGAATAAATAAATACATGAATAAACAAATGAATGAATGGATGAATATGTAAATGAATGAATGAATGAAAAAAATAAACGAATAAATGAATGAATTAATAAATGAATAAATAAAAAAATAAATACATGAATAAGTGAATGAATAAATAAATGAATAAATAAATACATGAATAAACAAATGAATGAATGGATAAATATGTAAATGAATGAATGAATGAATGAATGAATGAATGAATGAATAATTAAACAAATGAATGAATGAATGAATGAATGAATGAATAAATGGATGAATGAATAAATAAATGAATGAATAAATGGATGAATGAATAAATAAATGAATGCATAAATGGATGAATAAACAAATGAATTAATGAATAAATGAATGAATGAACAAATGAATTAATGAATAAATAAATGAATGAACAAATGAATTAATGAATAAATTAATGAATGAATAAATAAATAAATACCTGAATGAACAAATGAATGAATTAATACATGAACAAATGAATGAATAAATTAATATATAAATAAACAGGTGAATGAAGGAATAAATAAATTAATAAATTAATAAATACATAAATATATGAATGAATAAATAAATGAATAAAAGTAAATAAATGAATGAATGAATAAATTAATGAATAAATAAATTAATAAATAAATAAATACATGAATAAACAAATGAATGAATGGATGAATATGTAAATGAATGAATGAATGAATGAATGAATAAACGAATGAATGAATGAATGAATGAATAAATGGATGAATGAATAAATAAATGAATGAATAAATGGATGAATGAATAAATAAATGAATGCATAAATGGATGAATGAATAAATAAATGAATGCATAAATGGATGAATGAATAAATAAATGAATGCATAAATGGATGAATAAACAAATGAATTAATGAATAAATGAATGAATGAACAAATGAATTAATAAATAAATAAATGAATGAACAAATGAATTAATGAATAAATGAATGAATGAATGAATAAATAAATACCTGAATGAACAAATGAATGAATTAATACATGAACAAATGAATGAATAAATTAATATATAAATAAAAAGGTGAATGAAGGAATAAATAAATTAATAAATTAATAAATACATAAATATATGAATTAATAAATTAATGAATAAAAGTAAATAAATGAATGAATGAATAAATTAATGAATAAATAAATAAATAATTAAATAATTGAATGAATGAATAAATAAATAAATGAATTAATGAATAAAAATAAAAAAACAACTGCAACTTCTAATAGTTTAAGTTGTTCTGTGTTTACATTTTCAAGATGAT